AAAAATCTGGCGCTTTTTGCTTGCAAATCCTTGGGTTTTTTGATGCGTGTGTCCAGGTACTTTGAAAATCCACAGTTGATTAAATCGCTCCATTTTGCGTTCATTGTGAGCAAACTGGAGTCTGCCTCAGTTGTTTAGTCACCGTGTTATTTGCGGCAGGAACTTTTTCTTGAGACAGTGCAACGTCGGTTTATGAAGTTCCGAAGTTTTAAAATCTCTGGTACTTATCATGTTCGCAATATTAACTACAACTATTTATTGCAAACTCACGAGTTAGAATCACTCTCTGCCAGACGTAAGATTCATGGTGTTCGTTTTACGTGGAAATTGATACATAACAAACCGGATAGTGCTCAGCTTCTGGAATATGTCAACTTTCATGTGCCTCGGATTAGTACTAGATATGCTTCTACATTCGAGCTATCCCAGTCTAGAACTGTGTAATGATATTTTTATAATATAGGTTACTAAAATGTGCATAGATACTTAAGTTTATGTTTTAAGTTTTTTTTCTTGTAACAATTATTAAGATTTTTATTGTATATATTTACCCTCCAATTGGGTTACCGTTGGGCAAATAAATTATTATTATTATTATTTTGGCGTGGGGGTGTGATAATGATAGGTAATATTCTAATATTCTGGTAATATGCCCGATTAGCGTTTATTTACAATATGTACATTAGTGAACGACTAACGACACAATGTTCTTCCTTGGCGCACGGGAACCGACTCCGTCTTTTCTTCCCTCCAAGGGCCTCGTTGCGTGTTGTCACTTCCCGTCGATTTGAAAGTTTACCGCCACAATTATTATTAATATTATTATTACTTGTAAAACTTAAATTAGATATTAGTCATCTTGAGGTAAAGACAATCTTCTTGAATACTTTCTTGAAAGAAAAGGTTCTAATAAAACTACTTGCAAGTGTAGCGTTGTCTCCAGATATAAATGAAGTGTTATGATTCAAACGTGCAATATATGGGCTTAAACAGTCATCCAGAGCTTGGAATGACAGGGTTCATGATGTACTGATAGGTTTGGGTTATAAGAGATCTAGAACCTTGTTTATACGTAAAAGGCGGTAAATCGTTAACAATCATTGTTTTGTACGTACACGTGTCCTTGTTTTCTTAAACGATTCGGTCGAGACCAACTCCTTGAAGGATGAGTTGAAGTCAAGATTTAAAACCAAGAATTTCGGAGAAGCCAAGCAGGGTCTAGGTACGCGTATTGATTAACATAGATAAATTAAATGGTGCAGTAACCTTAGATCAGCAAGCTTATATTGAGCAAATATTGAAGCGATTCAACATGACTGAAAGTAAACCAATTCCTAGAGAAAATAAGCTAGAAATTAAGTCCGATGCTAAAAGAAAGATGCTGTGCTTTATCAGGAAATAATAGGAAGTGTCAATTATTATCAATCAGTATTAACTCTACCTGACATTTCGTTTAGTGTGAGCTTTCTCAGTCAAAGTCAATAATAGCTACTTATAATGAAACGTACTGGAAATGTGCAAAAAAATTTTTTAAGGTATTTGCAGGGTACCAAAGATTATGCCTTGTTTGTAAAGGACGCCACAAAATTAGAAGGTTAGGTAAACGTCGATTGGGCGAGTAATTTGTTGAATCGAAGATCATACACAGGTTTCGCTTTTAAACTGTCTGGTTTTGTGATCGCCTGGAAGCGTTAAACAAAAAACAGTTGAATATCTAGCACTGAAGCTGAATACATGGCTATCTATTTAAGAAATTTGTTATTTCAATTAACAGAACATGATAATTATATAACCTTGTCTAACGATAAGATCTAAATATTTGTGAGGCCTTTAATGTTTCAACAGTGGGCGTGTTGAGAGTATCGAAACATTGAGTGCCATTTGTATAAGTAGCGACACTTGTTGTCCATGTTCTTTTACCTTTTACTATTTTTACCTTAATAAAGTTAGTTCTGTGCTGATTAGTGATTACTCAACAAAAAGCACGCGTTGCTTTATTAGTCCTACATTACAATTTAACAGAAACACCAATGGTTGCAAATAACATTGCGTTTCCAGCTCGCTACCTGTCATGCGACACAGAGACGTACTTGGAAGTTTTAGTATAAAAAGAAAAGAAAGTATATACTCAATTAATTGTACAGTCGCGGCCATAGAAAACTGGACCTTAGGTTTGACATACGCTTCCAAATTTGAAAAAATAGGCTTTAACTAATGTTTTGTTTGACAAATTAGGAACGTACATTCAAATTACTACCATGATATTAAAAATAAAACTGTGTTACATCAAAGTGGTCCAGTTTCCTATATAATATTACAATAAAGAAAAGCATTTATCTTGTGTGCTTTGTTTTGTTAAAAGTACCAGGTAAGAACATTCGCTCAAATCTGAAGCCGGATGTGTTAGCTTCAAGTTTTTGAACGCGTGTAAATGATTTATGGGTATAAGGGACGCCTCCGTAAAGCAGCCCATTATTAGTGGTCAAGAACTGTACTGCTGCCATATAACCTTAGAAAAGGTGTTTTACTATACCGGATTAACACTTCAGTTCGTTATGTACGGGGGTTTCGAGAGTCCCAAAAAAATAAGAAAAAAATTCTTTACGATGTAAATTACGAAAAAAACGTAGTAAAAGTTTGTGTTGTTTAGTTGTTAAACGTAACAAAATAACCAATTGCTAACTCTACCATAATGTGAAAAGGAATTTTTTTACTATTTTTCCTAGACTCCCCAGTTGATTGTTAAGAGCGTAGCAGAGAGTTAATCCGCCATTTTCCAGACACCCGGTATTTCCATATATAGAACATCCAAGTTTAAAAGAAGTAAGCTGTAGCTGCTACAACTATTATGGGAAATAACTATGGTATAGCTGCTTTCAAAATAAGAGAATAAAACTACCTGGAAAACTGACTTGACTTTTAGGGTTTTCTAACACTAAGCGGTAGGTAGGCCAATAGGAATGATTGACAGCTTGTACCAGGTATAATGGATTAAGCTTATAGCCCTAAACCGCTTGAAATTGTGATATCCTTAAGTCAAGTAGGGTCGCTGCAGGGGGTTCTGTTCTCTTATTTTGAAAGCAGCTATAACAAACTTAAATTTTCAGAGCAAAACCGCCGCGGAAGCTAGATTATAATAAAATTTCAGAAAACTAAACACCCAGGAGTGCTGGCTCTCTTGTTTATTTGACTATATGTAAAATGTTTTTGAACATTTTATATGATATATTTTTATTTAACATTTACTTTATTATATTGCTAATTATTGTCGCAAGTTATATTACAATTTTTAAATTATATTACTAGCGTAGCATATGATCTTAGATCATATAATAAATAGATACCACCATGCCGTGTTCTTTCCCTGGTAGAGCCTGTGACGACATTCTCCTGTCACACATCTCTCTTCTGCATAGAGGGATTACAATCAAGCTATCCTTGCTTGATCACTATTTGAATTTTGCGCGCCTTAATTTTAGGAAGTATGTCTGAACTAATTTCGTACGAAAGATGTTGACAGCTTGATTTTATAAATAATTCACAGTAGATAACGAAAGGAATAGTAAATTATTGGGCAGCAATTGTGATCCTTTATGATTACATCACTTAAAATAGAATCTTTGTTCTAAATTCTAAAATTGTTTTTCGTACAAGAACTGGAAAGAGAGGTTAGAAGAAACATCTGTCAAAAGCGATTTGTTGCGCTGGTGCGGTACCAGGATGGAAGTGAAATAGACATATATAGATGAAATGCATATAACAAGGATGAAGATGTGGTGATCACACAAGGATAGCATTATAATACTCCCCTTGACGTAGAAAACGACAACAGATAGCTTCATGTCTTGTCCCAGCTTTCAGTTTGAGTATTGGTATCTATTTATTATGTGATCTAAGCATATGATGGCTACAATCAGAGAAACGACCATAATTTTAACAATCTACTTTTTTAATTTATAATTCGGAGGAAGTGAAAAAAAAAAATTTCCGATGGAAGTTAGGTTAGTTAAAGACGTTTTTAATAAAACGTTCACTCAAGACAAAAGTCAAATTCAATATGTTGAATTTTGCAAAACAATTATAACTAAATTTAATTACATATGGACACATTTTATGGCATTTAAAAAATACTATCCTCTATCCACATAGTTATTCAATTCCTTAAAAGATGAGATGCACTACACAATACACTTGCCAAAAGATAACAAGAAAACACAATCTAGAGAGGTAAATTGTATATGTCCGTAGAAATGATCACGATCCTGCCAACAAAATAACAAATTTAAAAAAAAAACACTAAGAATTTACGATGTGTATAAGCAATCAGGATATAGATACTAATGTGCTTGTTACCAAAATTTACACGAAAATGAGTAAATAAACACTATTTAAACCTTTAGTAGCATATAGTTTTTAAAGTTTGTATCCTTAAATTTAATAAACGGTGTTAGGGTATATGAAAAACATGATATTTAGTAATGTTTTTATCTAACCGGTTTGCCATGTGAACACAGAAAATTCGAATTAAACTTCAAACAATTGTAAAAGATTTTAGATTTTAACAATATAAGCAGGATCGTTTTTCGCATCATAAAAGATGTGTGCCAAAATTTGTAAAATAGCTAATTTCATTTTAAAAATCGATATCTGAAATTACTTCTTTAATGCGATAATGTTTTACAAGCGACTCTTTTATGGTAAGCACTGTACCATGAAATTTTACGTGTGACGTGTTAAAATTCCTTTGTTCTGTCGCACCCTACAGAATCATATAATTAACAAGACAATCGTAACAAAAATATATATTTTTCGAAAAATTTAGAAATTGGTTTCCGTACCGTACTTACATTAATAACAGTGTAACGACATTAGTTATTATTGTTTTCTGTTTTTACCCGATTTGTGTTTTATATTCACAACCAACATAATTTACAACTTCGAAATACCTTATTTCGTTGTGTTTTAAACAGTGCTACATAAAAATATTTAAAATATCTGACCTATAACATTCACTTCTCCACTTCGGCGTGCACTTTGACCTTGCTTATTTCTTGCCCAGCAGGTGTATACCCCAGAATCAGCTTTCTTTTCAACAGGATTTATCAGTAAAGTTCCATCGTGCAAAACTTTTTGTCTTAAGTCGCCTGGAAGATCTCTCCCTCCACGTTCCCAGTGAACCTCTTCAATTGGATATCCGGCTACTGGACACTTTAATTGCAATATTTCTCCAGCTACAGCAGTGACTTTTGGAATTAGACGAATATAGGGCATTCCTGGAAAACACATTAAAAATTAGTCGTGAAGAATTGCTTATTTTTAAATTGTTATTTCATTCAAAAAGAATTCAAATGCTTTCAATAATCGGAGAGCAAAATAACTAAAGAAGTAAACGTTATCAAAATTATTACAACCATGTGTTTTATTATTGTTAAGCTGGGGTTACATTACCTAACGGAATGGAACCCCAAGTGTGGGATAAGGGGTCTGCCCCCCACAACACATTCTGGATACAATAAAAAATAAATCCCTTCAATTATTAGAAGATTATACAAAGACACCTTTCATAAAACTCCATTTGTAAACTAAAAATCGCGCGATTATAATCATGTAAAGCTACTTCTTTGAATACTTTGAAAACGCAAAATATTGTTATTTTTCTATATTTTTTAAAATCTGTTTTTGCTTATTCTATACCTTTAAGTAAATTCCTACAGGCAAAAAAAAAATGGTCCAAAGTTTTTTATTTATTTCGACAAACCTTCACTCACCCTTGAACTACAATAAGACAGCTTTTTCCAAAAATTACAAAATTTGATTTTGGGAATTTTGTTTTTTATGAGAACATCTGGGCAAATCAAAGAAAAGGCAGGAGTGGCTGTTGCGGGGGAGGGGGGGGGGGGCGGAGCACAAGGGCACGTGCCTCCCCAAAATTACAACGTCTACAAACACACTGGACATGGTAAAATAGTAATTTTCAATATTTAAAAAATTATCCGGAAATTTGTGTCATAATTATCAAAACTAATTTTTTTATATCGCTGCACTTATATAAAATGTATCAAAACTTACGTCCACTTACATCTAATGATATGTGTCTTGGATATAAGTAGTAACGGTGGGGCCTGTCTAATTTGCAGACCACAGTTTATCTTGCAAACTGGGGGTTAAAAATGCTGCAATCAAGTCAAAACTCGACATTTGCTTATTTCTCAATACGAAGATTGTTGATACAAAATTTCAACCCGTTCGGAGAAATCGTTAAAAACTACCGCCACAACAAGTTTGCAGACTGGGGCTTAAAAATACTCTAATCAAGTTAAAATTTGACATTCGCTAGTTTTTCAATACGAGGATTATCGATACAAAATTTCAGCCTATTCGAAGAAACCCTCAAAAATCATCCCCAAAACAACCTTGCAGACTGTGGGTTTAAAATGGTTCAATCAAGTCAAAACTCGATATTTCCTAATTTCTCAATACGAAGATTGTTGATACAAAATTTCAACTAGTTCGGAGAAATCGTTAAAAACTAACCCCACAACAAGCTTGCAGACTGGGTTAAAAATATTATTACCAAATCGAAACTTTGTGTTTAGTTTTTATCTATACGAGAAGTGATAATGCAAAAAAAAACAGCCTCTTTTAAGCTGCTCTTAACAAGTACCCCAAAGCAATCTTCCATACTGGAGCTTAAAAATACTCCAATTGAGTCGAAAGTAACCACTTGCTGAGTTCTTTAAACAAAAAATTATCATGTTAAGTTTTAGTCACCTTCAAGCAACTTATAAAAGTGATTCATAGTTCACATTCATTTATAGTACAAGTAGCAGAAAAATTTCAGTCACATATAAAGAAACAGTACATATTTCTAAAGTAGGTGCGCGCACCATAGAGGTAGAATGAGAGGAGGGAAGACAGTTTGAAAAAATGCCTGGTACCGCGCTTTCTACTAGGGTCATAAATGGTTCTTCCAGGTCCTCAGAGAAACTGGTTGTTCCAGTGGCGTGTTCGAAAGCGTTTGGGCATAAAACAAAAATAATTTCATAAGAAAGCATATAAAAGCAGCAGCAGGAAATTTACTTGAGTTTTTAATTGGTTAACATTGGTTGCGACGGTCGTCGTGTTATCTCCACCTTCGCGCAAACCGAGCTAATTCCTACAACTGCGTCATCAGTTCATCACCCAATGATCTTAATATGCATTGTTAATTATGAAAAATATTGTTTTGTTACCTTTTATAACTTTATTTTAATGCATATATTTTTAGTAACCATTCTCATATTCATAATTATATTTTGCCAAAGCGTTGAATTTTTATTTTTGTTTTTTTAGTTGTACTTTGCATATAAATTTGTTAAAAAAAAGAATATATAAATTAATTTATTCTAACAACTTGGTTTTATTTATATGTAATACACTACCTAAGTAAGTAGCAAGTCTTTGTTACCAAAATGTTATAATAAAATCAAGCTGCAAATTACAGGTAAGGATTTTGCCATACTACCTTTTTAATTAGTTTTGAAATCTTGTACTAAGTGTAAGATCTGCGATATTAATTGATATTAATCGAGTCACTGATAGGTGCTTTGAAAAGGTGACATTAACTACATTTAACATTATTGAGTTTTGACTTGATTGGAACATTTTTAACCCCCAGTCTGCAAAGTTGTTTTGGGGGTGGTTTGTGAGGGTTTCTCCGAAGGGGCTGAAATTTTGCATCAATAATCCTCGTATTGAAAAACTAGCGAATGTCAAATTTTAACTTGATTAGAGTATTTTTAAGCCCCAGTCTGCAAGCTTGTTGTGGCGGTAGTTTTTAACGATTTCTCCGAACGGGTTGAAATTTTGTATCAACAATCTTCGTATTGAGAAATAAGCAAATGTCGAGTTTTGACTTGATTGCAGCATTTTTAACCCCCAGTTTGCAAGATAAACTGTGGTCTGCAAATTAGAAACGCCTGTAACGGTGGGTCTTTAGTGTTTTATTAATTGAACGAATTAATCCGTAATTAATCTCGAATTAAATTAATCCGTAATTACTCTCCCTTAATCCCCATCGGTTCTTAAATAACAGCGCCTTTACCTCCTAAATACCAGCGCTTTTACTTCTTAATTGCTAGCGGGTTTTAAATCGTAGCGGTTTTGAATTAATAGCCGGTTTTAATTGCTTAGTGTTTATTAATTGATCGAATTAATCGATAATAATTAATCTCCCGCGGTTCTTAAATACCCGCGCATTCACTTCCTAAGTATCAGCGCTTTTACCTCCTAAATACCTGCGCTTTTTATATCGTAAACGCCAGCGCTTTTACTTCCTAAATACCAGCGGGTCTTTAAGCCGTCTTGCAAATCCTATAAAAAAGTCACCAAAATTTATATATATTAATTCACTGGTCAACAGCTAAGCTCTAACTTTTATTATAGCAGCCAATTATTATTTAATTAACAATTTTAAATGATATTATAAACGGCTAAACCCAAACTTAGCTCTCATTTAAAAGTAATCTTCAATATTATCCTTTGAAAAATACAAAAATCGTACTATTAAGTAATAGGAAACTTTCTATAAGGTGTATTTTTTTGTGATCAAATTGCTACAAACTTCTTGGGAAACAATAAGAAAACTACGTTTAGTAAGTAGAAAACATGTTATCATCATATAAAAAATTTAAAATTAACATATTCTTAAAAGTGCATTTTATGTATTCGCATCTTGATTTTTTCCCCAAAAATTATGACGACGTGAGTGACGGACATAGAGAACGCTTCCATCTGGGCATTTTGTGGATACAAAAACGTTACCAAGATCGATGGAACACCTAAATGCTCGCAGAATACTGCGGGACCATCAAGCGAGAGATCTCCAATGAAATCTATAGGAGGCAACCGAAAAAACGTCGGTCTTAGCTGTTTCTTTTGTTTTTTTCGTTTTTTAAACTACAATCGTTGTTTTTTTCTTAATCATGGTTGTTCTTTTGTTAATACATCACTTTTTGCCGTTAAATATACAAAAATTAAATTGTTTTACCTGCTTTTTTGTTTTTAGCATCAAATATGCATTTTTATTTTTAATTGAGCTAAGTTGTAAGGTTTATGCCCTTTGTTACAAACACAGAGACAAATTAAACGAAAACATTACAATTATGTCAAAGTTAGAGAGAAAAAATTGAATTTTGTTGACCAGTGTTACCAGCGCTACAAATGAGCAAAATATCTAAATTACCATCGCTTTTCAACCCTTAATTACTAGCGTTTCATTAATTTGATAGCGGATTTAATTGACTAAAATTTAAATATACATATATTTTTTTATCAGTGTATTGCGGGTTACATATACATACATAGATAGAGACAATTGCCAGAGCTCTAAGATGGCCATCAAATATAATTAATTACTAATCAAGAATGATATAAAATTCTTATATCCTTTTAATTACCATTATGGTTTTTTAAAATTATTTTAGATGAATTAATGAATTGAATAAAAATATTGACAGTTTGGGAATCACGTGATTAAATAATGCATGCATTTATTACTAGACAGCGGATTTCTGTCGGGCTACGTCACGATTATAGGTGGGAACGCGCTGGATCGCCGGGACTCAGTAGCGGATGATAGATAATCACTGAATTTAATCGTCACTTATTCCATAAATACAATTAACGATTTATTAATCAAACGGCTAAGTAAATGAGAACGGAAATTAACAGCAGGGTGCAACAAAGCAGCGTTATTCTAATCTCAAATAAACGAAATGCAGACCGTAACTGCGATGAATTCCCATCCCGTACGAGCCGTACCTAGTTTGGCCTTGCCTAGCCCGACAGAAATCCGCTCTCTATTTATTACACAAAACCTAAAGGTGTTTTGAAAGTGACATTCGTACATTTGTTCGGTAGGTAAACTTTCCATTTTTGCATTCCTTAAGTCTTTATATTTATACGCATAATTTCTTAACAAAACATTGCAGAAGAGGAGAAGTGACATATCCGTACCCCGTTCAGGGTACGTTCCATTACATTTAAATGATAGAAACTTCAAGAATTTCTTCAGAATTCTATCTAGGACCATGTGCTGCGTGATGTATATCGGATACCAAATTAAAGATGCGTATTCTAACTTGCTTAAAACAAAGGCATAAAACAGAATTTTGATCAGGTTGACATTACGGAAATACTTAGATACCCTCACGATCAAACCTAATGACTTGTTAGCTGAGTTCGCTATGTGTTCAATGTGTGAGTTAAATGTTAAGCCTTCTTCAAATATTAC